ATACATACTATGAAGTAAGGGTTGTGATTCATTTTCTTACATGTGGTTGTCTAATTGTTCCAGCACCATTTTGTTGGAAAAAAAAAAAAACTGTCCCTTCTCCACTGAATTGCCTTGGGGCCTTTGTTGAAAAATCGAGCATCCACATATGTGTGGGCCTAATTCTGGACACTTTCTCCTATCGATCTGTGTCTCCTTTTACCAGTACCACACTGTCTCGATCACTGTGGCTGGAATTGGTAGGGCAAGTCCTCAAAAGTTTGTTATTCTTTTTCAGAATTATTCTAGCTATTCCTGTTCTTTATTTTTCCACATAAATTTTAGTCAATTTCTATAAAAAGTCTTCTGGAACTCTGAAATTGTGTTGAATATAGATCAATTTGGAGAGAAGTGACATCTAAATATTGAGCCTTAAATCCCGTGAACACAGATCTCTCTCTATTTATTTAGATAGTCTCAATTTCTCCCTTCAGTGTTTTTATAGTTTTCAGCATATAAATCTTACACATATTTTCTTAGATTTATCCCTAAGTATTTCATGTTTTTATAAAAGTTTAGCAATGTTGGTATCCTATTGCCTTTATTGTTGTTATGTGGTTACATTTTAGAAAAATAAATATAGTAATTATCATTAGCAACGAAGTAAAAGATTTATCATGTCTGGAGTTTAAGTAGAGGTACAAGACAGGAGTCACTTAGAAACTAATTTCCATTCAAGTTTCCTAATATGGAACCTCCTTGCCTATTCCAATCTGCAGTCCCAATGAATGGGAATCTGGCAGAAAAAGTCACCTGTCCATGGTATTTGACTGGAATACCTATAAGATATATTTTTTAGTACTTTTCTAGGTGAAAAGGCAAGAGAATAGAGGGTTATCTTCTTTATTTGTTTATATTTGTTTTACTTTGGAGTCAGTAATTGTATAGCCATCCTCTTTGTTATTTACTATGTTCCATCCTAAATAAATTTTCAACAATTATACGTAAAGTCTTCAACAATTCAGGTAGTTTACCAAGCATGATTACATGTTTACTTAACGAGTCCTTATTTTGGCTCTTTCACAATCTTCTGAGATAAGCACTATCATTGTGCATTTGAGAAATATCGGTGGGGAAACAGACAGAGAGAGTAAAGAAAATCCCCGCCGTAGCAGAGCAAGCACGGTACAATACGAAATCCGATGTCAGGTCTAACTCCAAAGGTGCACTCTCTTCACCTGTGAGGCTGCTCTGGGCGTACCTAAGAGATAACTAGGGATTCCCACAGGGCAGTCCCACACCTGATACCTGTGTGCTCGACAATCCTCCCCACCGGTGTGATCAGGCTTAAAACGCAAACACTTAAGTCAGGCATCATGTCCACCTGGGTCGGTGTTTCTAACAGGTGCAATCAAAAATACTTTCCAAGATACATGTTAATGTAAATGCTTGGATTACATTCTGGGTTCTTTAGGAAGCAGGTTGGAACGTAAGAAACGGCCTATTTTACTTTTTCATATTTCTCTATCAAAATGTCTTTATCCCATTTTTTCCTTCCAACACAGATGCTGCTATCTGGGAAGGAGGTAGCAGTTTAGAAAATGAGATTCAATTTAGGAGAAAGCAAGAAGCACGATCACAAGTTTAGCTGAACCTGCTACAAATATGTTAATTCTGAAGCAAGCTGAGAAGGGATCCTAAAGCACTGTACTTACTCTGAGTAGTAGCTAGCACACTAAAAGGTTAGGAAGTGCATCTGCGAGACAGACCTTGAAAACAAATCTTGCAAATGAAAAAGCTTTTTTATATTTATATTAATTCTTTTCAATAATCACTTGGCAGAAGACAGCTAAAATGCAACCTTAAATTTATCATTCTCCAGTAATAATTGCAAGCTCTAAATAAAGCAGCACCATAGGACGGAATAGCTATTTTTTATGATTATTTAGCTGCAACATTCCAAATCCAAGATTCCTTTTTCTTCCATACTAATTATGGTACCAAAAAATCTTGACAACAGTGCAAAAAGCAAAGCCCTGTTCTTTCAAATAGCCTTAAGCCTCTGCCATATTAAGAGGTCTACAAAATTCTGACCCCAGAGCAGACTTGCTTAATTACCTAAGACCTCTGGGGTATGCCTATAAATTAAGGTTTATAAATCTTTAAATTAGAAATAGAAGCAGCAACAACATTAGCTAACTACAGGGGAAAATGAGCCCCTCCAAAACTGAAGGCTACCTAAGACCTTGAGGGTGGCCGCACTATGTGTAAACTGGCTTTCTCCAGGAACATGGTCTACCCCGATCACTGACACGGCCGGGAACGCGGGCTCAGCAGTTCCAACGCTATCTGCTGACGCGAACGGAGGGACTAGCTCTCTGAAGGAACCAAGACTCAAACCAGACAGGATTCCTTGTGGATAAGCAAAACTGTTTGAGTGATTCATTGTTGTCATATCTACTGCCCCTCAGAAATTCTAAACTGGGAATAAAAAGCATGGCAAAGTGAAATGTCACTTTGGGCTTCGGGATAATTGGTGAAGGTTGAATACTCCTCATTAGATTAAGGCTGGAAGAATGAAAAACATTTTAAAGAAGGCGTGGCGCACGTATACATTTATGCCTCGTGTTTGACATATAGACTGAGGCCTTTATGCAAAATATATAAATAGAGAGAGCGAACTATTCAAAGATATAAGATGACTCCTAAAATTACAACTACTTATATTATCAACATAATGATGCCAAGGCTACCAGTTCAGTCTTCACAAGGAACCTATGTGTCATTGTGACTATTTAACCAAACAAATCAGTGCAAATCTGTCCTTCACTAAAGAATCTTACACTGTAAAAGCATAAAACAGTTTGAATCAGGGCGGTTCTCTTCACAGCTGACAGAAGGACATCAGTTCATCTCCACACCTGACCTGGAGACCTCATGTTAGATCACCAGGGTCCCACAACCCAACAGAGAAACTTCCCAGCGAACTGAAAGGCTAAACCCTGACCTAGGTCCCTCTTAACGATCTGAAGTCTCAGGCCGTCAACACATAAAACAAATATTTTATCACACATGTGAGTCTTCCATTCCCAGACTCGCTCACCCACAAATGCTACCATCCCACGCTGACGACCTACTGGACTTTGTTTCCACTTTCGGCAAAGAGGGTATGACTCAAACTACTGGTCTGTCCCAGAGGGATAAATCCGATGGGAATCTTACTGAAGGTCGCCTGGGGGAAAAAGCAGAGGCAGGTTTTAGTGTTATGGTGGGAAAATTAGGCTAACAGAGGGGCAGAGATGTGTCTACTATGACGAGTAACTGTAAGTGACCCTGGGCCTGCCTTCCCGACTCCCTTACCATGTCCTAGACCAGTGACCAGGTAACACGAACTGAGCAGTTCCTAAAGGGAGGCAGTCCATGAATGCAACATGAATTGGAGTTTGGAAGAAATATTTGGGTTTTCATTAATGGCAACTGATTGAAAGACATTTGGTTAAGAAAATGAGGGTGTAAAAGATAATAGATAAATGCACTATTGTGGCAGAGACTATTATTTCACTATTTGAAAAAGTCGCAGACAAAATTCAGCTAAAAATAGCTAACATGTGTACATTAAGTAATGACAGGTGAAAAGTGCTTTATAAATTACCTCAAGTACAAATAAGCAAAGAGAATAAGCACGTTCAGGCATCGGAAGGTAATGGCAAGGCCGAAGATTTAATTAAATTCCACAAATAGAGAGACACTGTGAGGTACCAGAGACTATTTTGAGGACAATCTGCCATCAGCACAGGGACTAGGAAAAGTCTTTCTTGTTGATATTGTTTATAAAATATTTGAAACTATTGTGGAAAAGTGTTTAAAATAGTGTCACAAACACTCATACACCCAGACCCCAGATATAACAAACGTTATATTTTGCCATATTTGCTTCAGATGTTTTAAGCAATGAAATGACAGATACATTGAAGTCACTGCCCACCCAATTCTTCTCTCGCCCCTCCCAGAGGAAGCCATTACCCTGAGGTTGGCGTGAGGATGTCTTTCCATCCACATTGTTATTCTTTTACTACATTATTTTCGACATCCATTAAGAGGATGCTCGTTTTCCAAATTTTAAATCTTTGCAGAAATGCGTAACATACTTTGGCAACCTGACTTTTTTACTGAATATTTTTAGAATAACCATGTAGACATTTATAAATCTAGTTCATTCATTTTAACATCAGTATGGGCTTTTAGTATATAAACACACTTCGATTTCTTTATGAAAGCACCCTTTCAAAAAGATCGTACAGAAAATTTTTATATTTTAAAAACAACGCTTGGTAAAAGATTCTATAGAAAATTTTTATATTTTAAAAACAACACCTGGTAAAAGCTACTGGATTACCAAACCGGAAAAGTCGACCGTGAGTTAATAAAAGTATCCTAGGGCTTGACTTTCTAAAAACCAAGGAAGCACAACTTGTGCCTGCCTTAAAATATAAAACGAGGAGAAAAGGTAAAATTAAGAGAGAGAAAAAGAACAGAAAGGTGAAAGCCAAAATGAAATGACTCTTCTTAAAAGCTTACCTCATCTGCTCTTCGAAGAACTCCAGTAATAACCTACAAATATTTTTAAAAATTATTATAAATAACATGTGTTTCCTTTATCATAAAAGAATTGGATTCGATTTTCATGGACCACACACTTTCCTTATTTCTTCCTAGAAACTATGTCAAAAGATGTCTCAGCTCTTAAAACACATAGTATTTTCCAACAGGATCAGAGTTAAATTAACTTTTATTATTGACTTAAGGTCAATAGTACAATGAGGGCTAAGATAAAAGAATATAAAACCTCCACATTATATTAGCAAAATTATGTTTTAAGTTTCATAAATGGGTATTAATATGCTGTTCACATCAATTATACCAAAGACCCTGGTTTGCTACAAAGAAGTGCACATGTAAGGGAAAATAACCCTTTGCTATTCTCGGGGAGGTCTGCTCTTCATCGATGTTTCTCAATGATGAATGTAAAGACATGAGGGATAGTAAAATATAGTACATGTCTTGTAAAAACTGAAAAATACTTGAAGAAAAACTTCTTTCTCATAAACCCACCATGCAGGAGGATACTCATCATTAAACAGTTGTTTGTATTTTGATACATTTCTCTCCAATTCTTTTATCGCCAAGGCATGTTTTTATGACTGGATTGTACCAAATACACAATTTGGTATCTTTCTTAAAAATATTTTGTAAAGTAAAGGCTGACGCCCCTCTTCTCCCTTCGTCTCCTCCTTCACTGCATTTTAGGACTAAGTGGGGCTGTCTGAGGTCTACCTCATTCTTTGGTTGGCATGCTATTAGTATTCTTCACACTTCATGAAAAAGCCATAAAAACCATTAGCACAGCCTTTTCAGAAGCAGCTTACCAAGGCTCACATAATTTCTAAGTCAAACACAGGACTCCTCTCAGTCTGTGGGTAGCTCCCGATCCCTCAACACTGGTGGTTCTGTCCCACGAGACAGAGGCAAAGGCAGTCGGAGGTGAGGCACGGATGGGGTCGTGGTGCACAGGACAGAATGACTAGTGGGCGGGGGGCAGGAGGGGGGCTGGCGCCTGCACCAGGCTCTTTAGGGGTTTCTAATATATTATGGAGGGCTAGTCTTGCCCTGGAAAAAAGGGCACTTCCAGGGGGATGTACTGTCCTGAATGGACCAGAGTGAGCACTACGGATATGGAATTTAAGGACACAGGCCGATGCATACATTTGAACACGGAGGCCTCTGCTCCTACATGTACTATTAGGAGATTACATACGTACATACATACATACATACGTATACATGTGATGGAAATGATGTGAGAATGGACAGATGCATTTTTTAAGGGAATCTTTAAGTTTATAAGAAACGTTCCTCATAACTGAAACTGATTTCATAACAAACAGGGCTACTTCATAAGAATCTTCAAAATATCAAAAGCTCGTCCTACACACCACCATTCGTCTCCTGTTTTATTTGATTTTATCACACTTAAATTTGATAACAAAAACCCATTTATGTGCTAGGTATAGAGTTTCGACGAACCAATGAAATAAAAGTGCATGAGGAAAACGTAATGCTGTACGTATTTCAGGAGAAACGATCCTCAAAAAATGGATTACAAAGAAATAATTTCCTTAGATTATAACCACTTTATGCCATTTCTCTAAGGTCTAATTTCCATCTTCTTCACTTTCAAACTGGTTTCAAACAGGAAAACAGCCATACCTCCTGCAATGTCCCATCTCCTCCAGCAACGATGATGACATCTGTGCTGTCCATCAGTTCTAGGAGTTTCTTCGCTTGGCCCTCATAATCTGTCTGAAATACAAAGGAAGCCTTTGGTACATTTATCATCCTAGGGCCACAGGTGAAAGGTTTCAAAATGCAGGTTATTTTCGTTAAAGTTTTACATTGAGTCTTGTCTTAAATACTACATACTTGATAGATGTGAAAAACTAAACAGCTAAGAAAGCAACTCTATATATGGTTTTCATAGTTTTATACTTTTAGAACTGGAAGAGACCTCAGAAACCACAGTCAGCTGCTTACTTGTCTCAGTTACAGTGAGCTTGTCAAAGGACTCGGTCCAGTTCAGATTCTATGACATCATCTACCCAGGGCCTTTCATCTGCAAGCAGGAAGTCAAGTGTAAAGGCAAATAAGGAGAAGCAAATGTAATGAAAAAAAAAAAAAAAAAAAGCACAGATTTGAGAGCCCAGGAGACCTAGATTAAGTCTCGATTCTGCGACTTTTCAGCTGACTGGCCTTATGAAATTCTCAGGATCTCGATTTCCTCATCAATGAAATTGTGTGTCAGAGAAGGGGATAATCACAGCTGCCTCACGACACTGTTACAGAGCTGATGAAGCTCTAGCAGGCCAGTGGTTCTGACTGCACCCCAATACCGAGCCCACGGCTTACTGCGGAGTAGGCACGCAATGAATACTCGCAAGACATAAAATCAATGGAATAAGTTCAGAGGACACAACTAAAATGCAAAAAGATCCGGAGAGATTTAGCAGACCACAATTTAAAAGATTATGTTAATAGAGATAAGACATTTGAGGCTCTGATCTTACGATGAAAATTCCAAATGCACCAAAAGACTAAAGATAAAAAGGGGGGCCTAATGATGCAAAAAGATGAATTGACACGCTGACCTATACTTTAACAAAAATTAACTCAAAATGGGTTATAAACCCAACTGTAAAATAAAAAACTATAAAATTTCTGGAAAATACGGGAAGGGATCTAGGAGATCCTGGGTTTGGTAATGGTAAATCAACCAAAAGCAAGATCTATGAGACAAAAATTGATAAGTGGAACTTCCTCAAAATTAAAAACTTCTGCTCGATATACAAAGAAATATCCTGTTTTCACACCTTTACCAATGATGCATCTAAAATATAAGAATACAAAAGGGTGAAAGATGTAAAAATGACACCACGCAACAACTAACCCAAGTAAACTAGTGCAGTTACTAACAATACTAGATAAGGCAGACTATGGCGAAGGCAGGATTAGTGCTAAAGAGAGGCGCTCTGTGACGGAATCGAAATGCGAGAAACATGAATTAATCTAAACGTGAATTAATCTAAACGTGAGTGCGTCTACTAACAGTCTCAAATCTTAACAGCAAAAATGGATGAAACTACATAGAGAAATGGACAAGTCCGCAATTACAGTGGGAGATTTTTAATACCTCTCACTCTCTGAATAATCCATAGTTAAAAAATAAAAAATCAGTAAGGACACAGAATAAAAATTTTATTTGTTGCTGGTGGGAATGTAAAATGGTACAGTCACTTTGAAAGGCAGCTGGGTGGTTTCTTACAAAGCTAACTACTCATAGAGAAGACTAACTGCGCTCTTAGGTATTTACCTGAGTGAGCTGAAAAATTATGTCCAAAAATAAACCTGCACAAGAATATTTACAGCAGCTTTATTCATAATTGCCCAAACTAGAAACAACCAAAATGTCCTTTAACAGGTAAACAGATAAACAGCTGTACATCTATACAATGGAATATTATCCAGAGATAAAAAGAAATGAGCTATCAAGTCACGAAAAGACAAGCCACTGAGGGGCCCAGGTGACACCAGCGCGTCCGGACTGCTGACCAAGAGAATCGTAAGCAGAAAAACAGTAAGGCAGTTTGTTATATAGCAAAAGATTCCTAATATAGAAATAAGCCTAAATATATCAACAAGTATAATAAACCCTGGATTAAATAGTCCGGTCAAAAGACAAAGGAAAAAAAGACTGATTTTTGAAATATCCTGTTTTCACACCTTTACCAATGATGAATCTAAAATATAAGAATACAAAAGGGTGAAAGATGTAAAAATTACACCAGGCAACAACTAACCCAAGTAAGCTAGTGCAGTTACTAACAATACTAGATAAGGTAGACTATGGGGAAGGCAGGATTAGTGCTAAAGAGAGGCGCTCTGTGACGGAGTCGAAATGCGAGAAACGTGAATTCATCTAAACGTGCGTGCATCTACTAACAGTCTCAAATCTTAACAGCAAAAATGGATGAAACTACATAGAGAAATGGACAAGTCCGCAATTACAGTGGGAGATTTTTAATACCTCTCACTCTCTGAATAATCCATAGTTAAAAAATAAAAAATCAGTAAGGACACAGAATACTTGAGCCACACGACAGATGTGATTTAATGGACATATACAGAATGCGACGCCTGACAACTGATATTCTTTTTAGGCATACGTGGAACATTTACGAAAACGAACACGCTAGGCCATAAAACAAGTCTCAATAAATGTTAAAATACGAGTTATACAGACTACACACTCTTTTACCACACACAATAAAATCAGAAATCATTAACATAAATAATTGGAAAATCTTTAAATTTGGATATTTTAAAACATGCCTAAATAACTGATAGGTCAAACCGAAATCACTATGGAAATTAGAAAATACTTGGAGATGAAAATATTAAACATCAAAACTTCTAGGCTGCAGCTGAAGCAGCAGAGTAAAATATATAGTTTTAAATTCATATAGAATGGTAAAAATTAAGGACATAAGCATTCACATTAAAATGTTGTAAAAGAACAGCAGGAAAAAATCCAAAGAAAGTAGAATGAAGGAAATAAAGACAGACCAGAAATTAATGAAATAAATATAAATGAGAAGATTAACAAGCCAAAAACTGCTTCTTGGAAAGGATTAATTGGAAAACCTCTCACAAGGCTATTGAGGAAAAAAAAAGGGACAAATAATATTAAGCTTAAAAATGAGATATTACAAATGTTACAGAAATTTAAAAGTTTAAAAGAAGATACTATGAACAACTTGATGCCAATTAATTTGAAAACTTAGATGAAATGAACAAATTCCTTGAAAAAATTTACGTTATCAAAATTACCTAAAGGAGAAACAGAACTTGAGTACTTCTAGAGCCGTTAAAGAAATTTAAGATAAAAACACAATCCCCTCAGAGAAAGCTGCAAGCCCAGCGCGTCTCACTCCAGAGTTCAACCGAACACTCCAGGAACAAGTCTCAGTCCTGCGTATCCATTCCAGGACCCGTCGTATGCAGACAGTCCCTGACATACATTACAGGTTCTTACATAAGCGTTAGTTTTTTTCTTTTAAGTACCTTCCTCCCCTCCCTCAAGGCAGATAGATGACTGGAAGACCAAGTCTCAAACGAGTTGGGAAACAGTTCAATATTCCATGAGAAATTGCATGAAATGAGCTTTTAGTCTCTAGGATCTAATGTTAAAAATAGGTAAGCCACAGACTTGCAGATGGGGGGGTGGCAGCGGTTTTCATTAAATACGCTATTCCACACCGCACACGCATCACCCAAAAGTCAGCAAAGTGGAGTCCCGAAGCATCTTCCGAGACAGCACAACTAATTTATTTTTACCTAAATCTCGCAAGTTCTCAATCTTTACCATTTAAAATTCCTCAACAGAGAAAAAATGTTTACCTGTCAGCAGAACTACCAAGAAATTAAATTAATTACTCAAACTTGAAGTTTTTTTTTTCCCCCCCTCGGAAAAAGAATTCTTACAGCTATCATAATTCTCATCTTCCAAGAAACAATAATTCCACATCCTATCTTCCAATGAAAAGAATCAAGTTCATGCCTCCACCTAATCCTATTCTGAAAATGAAAAGCTGACAATGCTTTGAAAAAAACACAATTGCTTTAATTATCAGAACAAGTACACACCACTGATTTCTCTGTTCCTGTCTTCTTAAGTGAAAAGTGATTTCTGCGAAGAGAAGAGGCTATGTTGTAAGGGGGCACTTTGGCCAAAATCAACAGTGGAGCAGTTCTCACCTTAACGATAGTCACATCCATGCCAGACAAATGCAAAATTGGGGCAGCATTTTTTTCAAACAGAGTCCTTGCTTTGCTGTAAAAAAGGAGAAATTACAAATATTTTAACACAAGTGCACATGAAGAACAGAAAACATCTTTTCTTGTGTAGAACAAAGATAGACTAAGGAACACAGTTTCCTTTCTTTCTTCGGTATAGGAAGTTTAACAATGAGCCATGAGTTTCCACGGACAGAAACACAGACTCGCTCACTCTGGGGCCTCTGAGAGTTTACCCTTTGTCTCATACACGAAGCTCTTATCTGTTTGGGATGCTTACAGCTCACAGTCTACTTCCTCTAGAGGAAGAATGTACACCAGATGGGGCTCTGCTCAGGGTCATTCAGTATTTATTGAGCATCCCGTATGTGCTAGACAGGTATATGAAGCAGGGATACAACACGACAAAGCAGACAAGGATAGCTGTAACTTAAGTACAGTGTAATGAGTTCTCAAGGAACTTGTTTATTTTCCAGTGGTGGAGAAGGTATTCACTCTAACCTTTTTTCATACGGCCCGAGGGAACAGATTGAACCAAACAGAACAATGCTTAATTCTAGCTCAGCGGACACAATTTGGGGAGAAGAAATACATTATTTTTAACAATTTTGAGTCCTGGGGCTAGCTCCATTTCTTGAGTTTTAAACTTGTAGTGGTCTCCCTGGAGAAAGAGCAACATTGTTTACAGGAAGTCAGAATTTCTGCTAGGATAGAGGAAAGTCGGAAATTATCAACAGAACTATAGGAGAATTAGCAGCTTGTCCCAAACTCCCAGGCAAAGCCGTGCCCTCCTCTGCGTTGCCTCGGATTTTGTACACCTCTCCCTCAGGAACTTTCATATCGCAGAATGATGAGTGATTTGCAAGACAGTCTTCGGGACTAGATTTGAAGCCTTGCAAAAACAGATACCAAATCTTATTAATCTGAATCTCCTAGCCTCTAGGAGTAGGTCTGGCACAGGTAAAAGATACTTAATAAGTATCTGGTGAATTAACGCACAAATGAGTAAATGAATAAACCCACCCAAATGTACACATGTAAATTCCGAGGAAAAGGAAATCACATGTTTGTGATGTCTTGTAATATAATAGAAACAGTTAAACAGCCCTTAGAAGATTTTGTGTTTTAAAAGTATCACACATATCATTCTGATAGTGACTCTTGTCCAATTCAGGTCAGGTTTCAAAAACACAGCCTAGGAATCAAGGGATGCAGAAGTTGCAAAATGTCCCCTAGGAATCAAGGGATGCAGAAGTTGCAAAATGTCCCCAATGGCATTGCCTCAAATTTGAATAAATGTTAAATATATCAATCAGTTGACCTGTCTTTTACCCAAATATTTTCAATGATCACATCAGAAACAACTAGTATTTTCAAATCAACTAGCCAAATATCTAACTTTTACATCCATATTTACTTAGTCTTTCAGATTTTTTTTTACCACTGATATACAGTTTGATTTTCTTGAAAATATTTTATTCTAGAAAGAGATGCAAAGATTGCCAATGAGGAGCATGTATAATTACACACAGACAAAATTCAACATTCTCTACGCTAAAAGTTAGAATAACCACCGATGGCAAAACATGAAACATTTCTTATCATGAATTTAAATGGAAATGGAGAGGTTTGGATAAATGTTCCCAAGAACCATTCAGAAGAATCTCTCAAACCAAGGGCATACCTGAGTAGGTGATAAGCAAATTAAATACCCGACCTTTTCCACTGCTCTGAATGCTCATTAGAACGAACACGAAGGGCTCAATGGAAACCCCTCGCCCGCTCAGCTTTACTGTTGCACTGAGCTGGTGACGCTGCAAACATCTCTCCCTCCGGGGGCACGTTCATTAGGAGACTGGTAAGAAAGGATCGGTTGAAAATGAATCAGATCTAACCCTGAGAAGCCAAACTCTGGAGAAGTCTCAATCTGCTAGTTAACCACTTAGGACAAATCTGTAAGCTCCCCTAAGTTAAAGAAATAAAACTTGAACATTTGGGCATTTATTCATGCCTTTATGTGATGCCATGGGTACAGAAAACCTCTAAAAGTGAAGACTTTTTCCTTCGAATGTTCTGTCCAAAAGACTGAAAAACAAGTGTTACCAGTAAGAAATACAATATTTATTACACAAGTAAGGGTGATAGATAAATAACAACTTTATATACTTGTAGCAATTTCCAGGTTCGTTCTCTCTCTCTCTCTCTCTCTCTCTCTCTCTCTCTCACAAAAAGTGAAGACTTTTTCCTTCGAATGTTCTGTCCAAAAGACTGAAAAACAAGTGTTACCAGTAAGAAATACAATATTTATTACACAATTAAGGGTGATATAGCACCGGAGATAAATAAAAACTTTATATACTTGTAGCAATTTCCAGGTTCTCTCTCTCTCTCTCTCTCTCTCTCTCTCTCTCTCTCTCTCACACACACACACACTACTCCTTAATGTATTATTTATTAATGCTAAACACAGTTATCTTCTTTCTTAAAGCTCTTATGTAGTTTTAAACCAGTACATAATAAAATAGCTACATAATAAATTATAAATTATATGTCGGGCAGAGTCAAGATGACAAAAATAGTGCAATTAAATCGTGAAAGCGTTAAAAGGAGATGCTGGAGCATTTCAGAGTGGCTGCTTCCTAGAACTGTGCAGATTCACCTTGCTAAAGGGGATGATGACTTGAGAGAAAGCCTTCCTTAGCCTCCCTTTTAGGTAATGATATACCTTTAAACAAGAATCCATCTTTAAAAATGCAAATACATTTATCAGTAAAAGTGTAAACAGAACCTAAAACTGCTCTAAAAAATAGTTTAATATTTTAAATGTAAATGTCTCTTAGAAACTCAAAATGACTGATTACAGCTTAAACAAATTGCCATATATTTTTCTTCATCAGAATTAGCAAGTTGCTAACTCACTAGGTCTCTAAAGGAATAGCACCTAAATCAGTTAAAGCAGGCAGAAAGAGAGGTGCAGTGCCTCTGGGAAGGGTGGGAGGGTAAAGCAGAGAATGTCTTGAACCTAGACAGGTCGATAATAACAAAAACAGCAGCTTGTAGGTCTTTCACTCCATGCTTACTATGAAATAGAAATAATGCCAAACACTTCAGAGGCATTATCTCATTTAATCCTAGAGGCGCCTATTCCATATGGTGATTTCATAAGGTATGTACTGTTACATCTTCCATTTCACAGATGATCTAAGTTAAGTAGTTCCTGCAGTATTACAGAGCGCAAAAGAGTATACGGAAATAATCCTTTAAACTCTGAAGCCTACAGAGTTCTTGTGTTGTGTTAGGACCTATTCACTTGTTGGTGTTAATACTGATATTTAACAAGAATGATCAATAGGCATTATCACTGGTGTGTTTATGGGAGAGGGAAATGGTGTTAACAAACCCTGGCAAATGGGATTCAATTAGGCGGAGTAATGGAGCCAATTTAAACGATCTGTACATAAATATTTTAAACTGCTGAATTAAAAAGAAATAAGGCATGACTTGTCCTCGTATCTGAGGAGCCACACTCAGTCCCAAGAAACGACTAGAGAAACTTATTTGAGAAGCCGAAAGCCTTTCCTCTAAGATCAGGAACAAGACAAGGATGCCCACTTATTATCACTTCCATTTGACATAGTATTAGAAGTCCTAGCCACAGACAAGACAAAGAAATGAAAGGTGTCCAAACTGGAAAAGTAAAACTCTCATCATTTGCAGATGACATGGTACTATATATAGAAAACTCTAAAGACTCTACCAAAAAAACCCTATTAGAACTAATAAATAACTAGCAAAATTACAGGATACAGAATCAATTTACAGAAATCTGTTGCATTCCTGTACACCAATAAAAATTAAAAAAAAAAAATTAACAGTCCCATTTACAATTGCATCAAAAAGTATAAAATACCTAGCAATAAATATAACCAAAGAGATGAAAGACATGTACTCTGAAAACTATAAGACGTTAAAGAAAAAATTGAACAAGATACAAATAAATGGAAGGATACACCTTGCTCATTGACTGGAAGGATTAATATTTGTAAGATATCCTTAACTACCTAAAGAAATATGCAGATTAAATGTAATCCCTATTAAAATACCAACGGCATTCTTCTCAGAATTAGAACAACTAATCCTACAATTTGTATGGAACCACAAAAGACCCTACCTAGCCAAAGTAATTCTAAGAAAAAAGAACAAAGCCAGAAAGAAGTACCACACTCCCTGACTTCAATTACACTACAAAACTAAACTACAATAACCAAAACGGAATGATATTGGCTGAAAGATATACACACAGACCAATGGAACAGAATTGAGAGTCCAGAAATAAAGTCACATGTATAAAGGCAACTAATTTTCAACAAAGAAGCCAAAAACATACAATGGAGAAAAGAAAGCCCCTTCAATAAGTGTTGGGAAAATTGGAAAGCCACATGCAAAACACGTGACATGAAACTAGGTGACTCTCCGACACCATACACAAAAATTAACTCAAAATGAATTAAAGACTTGAATATAAGACCTGAAACAATAAAAGACACAGGAGAAAACATAGGTACTAAAATTATAGACCTTGGTATCAGTGGGTTTTTTGTGAACTTGACCCCAAAGGCTAGGGAAGTAAAAGCAAAAAGTAAATGAACGGGACTACATCAAAATAAAAAGCTTCTGCACAGCAAGAGAAAACATTAACAGAACAAAAAGGCAACCAACTGAATAGAACAAGAAATTTGCAAACTATACCTCCAATAAGCTAATATCCAAATTATATAAAGAACTCATAGAACTTAAGAAAAAATCCAATTTATAAAAAAGCAGAGTTGATAGATGGTCACAGGGATGGGGAGCATGGCATAGTGAATGCAGTCAGCAGTAACGCAATGGCTATGTGTAGAGCCAGAGGGAAGATAATCAGGGGGACCGTTTCATAAACTATATAAATGTCTAACCAATGTATTATAAACTTGAAATTAATAATAAAATAAAATGCTAAAAAAGAAAAGGCAGAGGCCCTAACAGACACATTTCCCAAGAAGACATACAGATGGCCAACAGACATGAAAAGACACTAACTTCACTAATTATAAGCCACAATGAAATACCATCCGCACTGTTAGAATGGCTATTATCAATAAGAAATAAAAAGTGTTGGAAAGGATATGGACAAAACGGAACCCTCATGCACTGCTGGTGGGAATGTAAACAGCCCCATGGAAAACAGTGTGGAGGCTCCTCAAAAAATTTAGAGCTACCATGTGACCCAGCAAATCTTTCTTCTCGGTAATCACCCAAAAATTTGAAAGATTTTATTCGTAAAGATATATGCACCCCTACATTCATTGCAGCATTACTCACAGTGGCCAAGACATGGAAACAACTGGTGTCCTTTGACAGGTGATTGGATAAACAAGATGTTGTACATGTATGCAAAGGACTACTACTCAGCCTTAAAAAATAATGATATGGTGTCATTTGCAACAACATGGATGAATCCCAAGAGCATCAAGCTAAGTAAAATAAGTCAGATGAAGAAGGACAAGAACTCAAATGAAAGATATAAAATAAAAAGCAACAAACAAACAAACAAACAAGTGCATATTCAGAGACAACAGTATGGTGATTCCCAGGGGGAAGGGAGGATGAAGAGGGTAAAGCGGGTCAAATACATGGTGACGAAGGAGATTTGATTTGGGGTGGTGAGCGCATGCTGCAACATACAGCTGATGTATTACAGAATTATACACCTGAAACGTATACAACGTTATTAACCCATGTTATCCCAATACATTTATTTTTAAAAAGGACAGAGTTCCGACACAGCCCTTGCCCAGTACACACACACGCCTCCCCTCCTTTCAACATCCCGTGGGTGATTTTGTTACAATAAATGGACATGGACGCATGATTATCAGCCAAGGTCTCAACTACCTTTTACACTTTAATTCCCACAATTCCCTCACATGACCCTTTCGGGACACCCCGACCAGTTTACTGACTGTCCTGTGACACACCAAGGGCCATAACTTGTCACTCTTGTGTCAAGGCCCCTGCCCCATGACCATTTCTTCTGTCAGAAAACTGAGTGTCCTCCCTCTGATGGCCTCCAAGGCCTGGCTTAAGGCTCACTCCTTCTAGAAAGAACGTCTCTGACCTCACAGGCCCACAGCGTCCTCTCGGCCATCTCTGAACACCTTGTAACAGAGAAGGCCTAATAACTCACATCACAGCGGCAGGTGTTCCCAAGGGGGCTACTGCCATCAGATAAGACTTATTCGAGTTAATTCTGGAATGACGATTAAACTTCAATTGGACAAGTCTGCTAAGCATCAGTTAGCTTTACGGTCGTATCTCATGAACCGTTACTTCTACGTTACAAGTGAATGTTAGTGCCAGAAGAGGGCTGAACCCAGTTCTTCTGACTCCTCACAATCTGACCAGCTGCCTGATAGCCTGTGACCTTTTCCCCTTAGAAAAGCTGAGTGTCTGACGAACCACCACCAACACGGAGCACGTCACCCACCCTTTGCACGCTGCGGGGTTGAGGAAGACCGTTGCCTTCTTCACGTGCGCATTGGGAGGGATGAGCTGATTGCCAAACACCTAAAAAAGGAAGAAAGAAACGTTTTAACTAAATGTCCTTTTATTCAGTTAGTGATCACATATATTCATTCATTCCAAAAGAATTTACTTCCAACAGATACAGTATCTACTCGGGGAGAAAAACAAAAAACGTTCTTTCGTGATTTCATATTAACAAAAACACCATAAACGACAACATGAAAGTGTACATTTAATCAGCTGAATTTTGTATTGTAATAAAAAACTCTGCTTCACCTACTAGAGGTAACTTTTCTCCATAAGATATGGCTACGTTTATTACAAACACACAACGCGTAAGACCATAGTCTGTCAAAAGAGAAGTTTAATCCATTCGTCTTTAGTTTTCAGAGTATAATCTTTTTCTACTTCAACTTATTACTACAGCTCATTCATGAAGAATCTTTGTGATACCAATTTATCTTCATATCTTTATATATATATATAAACCAAATATTCTATTTGCCTCCTCTTCTTTGCTACGTTGTATGATAATTAAACGGCATCAACTGGCACAGGAAAAAAAATGTAATATTTGCTAAAGATCTAGTATTTGCCATTTTCACATACATTATTCTTAGTTCTCAGAAACCTAGTAAGTATTAAATATCCTTATTTTAATAGATTAGAAAACCAAGATTCAGAAAGACAAGTCAGTCTCATTGTTAATAAATTACGAGTCTGGAATTTAACATCTAACTCCAAAACATCTCCTCCATAGGCTCTAAAGAGTAGGATGAAGCAGAACTAAGTAGTACAGAAGACAAGGTGTGAGGAGTCAGAATAGGGACAAACGGGGCTCGTGCTATGACATCTGGATTGAAGAAGAGAGACAAAAACAACGAGAGTAAGAAAGCACCGAAAAGGGCGAGATTTTGAGTCTTAGACGGTGGGGAGCAGGTCTGGGCCAAGACGACAGAATTCGAGTACAAAGCAACGACGGGAAAAACGAGTTATGCCAATTTCACTGACTAGCTAACAAAATCCACTGCCTCCCTGGTTTTCTTACCATTGTCTATTTTTTGCTTTAAAAAATAAACTTTTTCTGAATACTTCAGAAAGACATACTGTTTATAAAAAATAATTCTGGTACATTATAATTTCTACTCTGTTTTCACTCTTGCTAAATTAGACCTTAACATTTTGCTGCCAAATCTGCAAATATTGTAATTTGTTCCTGTTCTAGCTAGCCATACTATTTCTGAAATGTGGCCAGAGATTATATAATTAACTAGGTTCTCATGCCTACCAAATTCCAACCTGCAGTTCCAGATGATTCCTCCTTGTCCTCGTTTCTAGTCTCTAGAATTTTTCCTTAGCTGCAACTCAAGTCTCAGGTTTGCAGCGGGTTAAGGAGTTTATGTAAGACCACAGTGAGTTGAGTTTACTCAACTCAGATTTCTTATGAGATTAAGAAACATTATATTCGCTCAAGATCGTAATTAAAGGAAGGACATAAACAGGAAAAGCAGCGAGAGGAGGCTATAGGGTGAACTGACTTCCTTTTGTCACACAGAAGCAGCCAAATTCGTGTTAGGAAGCGGAGAATTAGAACAGCGGAAAGAGGCAAACATCTGAGGGGGAGGGAATAACCGGGGGACACAGTTTCTGAAAAAGTAAGAGGAGAGGGAATTCAGAACAGAGGAGACACCCACCTTTGGGAAGGCAGCACCCCATGACCACTCTTCCTCAGAGGGAGAAAGAAAGGGTTCCCTCCTAAGAGGGTTTTCCAGCTGCTAAGAGAAAAGTAGCTTGGGGTGGCGATCACCTTAAATTTAATACAAAGTTTATTCGAATTGATTTCCTCAACTTAGAACCATCTGAGATAAAACGGAAAAGTAATCAGATTCTGAAAACACAGATTTAGAACAGTTAGATAATCACTAAAGAGAGGAATTTATTAATAGTATCTATGGTCATTGTCATCCATGAGAACATTTCAGGAACAAACAGGAGGTTTGTCACCCATGTCTCCTACTAAACGTATCGTATGTTTGTCACTTTTGACTTCCTGTTTCTTTTCTGGTATTCCCGACATCATATACTTAAATGACATGTAACAAAAAGGCAACTCAGTCATGGAAATTCACCTGCAAGGTATAATGTACAAATGTGGAGGGCAGGAAAGAACAAAAATGTGGTCTTAAACTTGAAAGGATTTACAGTTCTAATGAAACTAGTAGAGCCAGACACACGAATATTTAAGCGCGAAATTGTGGGGCTGGGGCAACGATGCGCATGGTATTTATGGCTCAGCTGGGCTACAGAAACAGGCTCTAAAAATATGAGTCAACAGTTTTAAGAAGATTTGACTGTGAGAGGTAACACCTGCTCTGAACTGATATCCTTGGGGGTTACTTGGACCAGGGATGACTCAGTTTAGCCCCATCTCAAGGACAAGTGCAGACACGAACAAAATCCCAGAGCACCAACCAATGTGTTCTTAGGACTAATCCTGAAGTAAATGAGTCTAAAGAGGTGGGCGTTGGAACGGCTCTTCACCAGATGGTTAACTTCCTCCGCTTCCATCCAGAGTTGGCTCTCCGCCCGATTCATCCCGATAGTGGGAGAAAATAGCCGAACCACACTGATGCCAGGCTCTGCGCGGTGCCCCGGAACCGCCCGAGCCTCCTGCACCATCGAGATAAGGCGGTTTCCAGTGGTGCGCGGTGAATGGCATTACCTGGGCTTCCTGACAGGCTGCTCTCCTTAGCAGGTTATCACTATAGAAGCAAACAAAAGAGAGTGAACATTAGCTGGAATAAGTAGGTTAAAATCCAAACAAGTAAAATTTGTTTTTTGTTTTTTGAAATATGTACAACTCTTCCTTGTAAAATACCCAAATGAAAGTTTCTTAAAGACCTGTAACAAATCATGGGCGCATTTGAAAAAATACTTTCTCTGAACGAAATCCTGTGTTAAGTGTTTCCATAGTGTGGCAGGCAGAATAATGCCACCTAAAATGTCCACACCCTAATCCCCAGGACCTGAAAGTGTGTTACTTTATATGGCAAAAGGGATTTTACAGAGGTGATTAAGTTTAAGGTCTGGAGATAAGGTTATTCTGGATGATGCAGGTGGGCCTGATCTAATCCCAAGGGGCCTGATCTAATCCCAAGGGTCCTTAAAAGGGAGAAATGTCATGGCTTGCTCAGCAGCAAGTCTGATTAGGGGAGAATGGGAGAATGGTCAGAGACGCGACCTTGCTGGCTTTGAAGATGGGAGTCAGGGATGTGGGGACCTTCTAGAAGCTGGAAAGGCCCAGAGCAGGTCCTCCCGCAGAGCCTCCAGAAGGAAAGCAGTCCTGGACGACACCTGGATTTTACCCCAGTGAGACCTTCTAACCCACGGAACTGTAAGATAATAAATAGGTGTTGTATTAAATCACAAAATTTGTGATGATTTGTTAGAACAGTGATAGAAAATTAATGCACCTATTCTACATTTTTCTTATCCAGTGGAAATTATTCAGGTCGTTTGACAGAAATAAATTTGATGTTTAGTTGTTTCTGTCTCATCTATATCTTTCTTTATATTTATATCACTGTCGCTCAACTGTATCATAAATGGAAAATTCTGGCATGAGGCAAAACTCTGGCTAGCAAAAATGAAAACATTCTATCAGAATACGTTCACCTTTTTAACATAAAAGTCTCTGAAATGTGTTTGTCATTTATATCACGAGAGCACTTGAAATGGCTGACTGCCCAGGGCTCCTGAGTCTTCCTATAAGAGACATTTTTAATGCATGTTGCTAAGATCGCTGTTGTAATCAGGTCGAAGAAACTGGCACCCAGAAAGGGTGATCAATAAACAATTCATAAAGAATTAAAAGGAGAGAAGGGTTATTTCACTTACATTCTCTTTCTGGCCCTTTTTCATAACATCAAAGACCTTGAATTTTGCATGTTTACAGTAATTCACATCTAATTTTGATATTTACGGCTGAACTAAAAAAAAAAAATGAAAATAAGAAACCGTTTGCTTTGTGCCACAGTCGCAGTCAGAGGCTGCTCGATGGCTTTTTCCGTAGCCAGGTTGCAGAACCCCTAGATTTCACAGAGCAAATTTGACAAGGAAACAATGTCCAAGGGGAAGCAGCAGAGCTGCCCATCTTAAACCCAAGAACTATGTTCCACTAAAACCATAAAGGCACGGTACCTCAAAAGGGCATGCTGTCTTGGAACCAAGGTTCCATGGCACCAGGCCCTCGTGAAGTCTAGCTCACAGGGCGCCTTTACCGCCAGGTCAGTGCCCACTTGCTTGAGGGCCACTGCTCCACCACCCTGCGCCAAGAGGGAGCCAGCTGTACGAGCCGCTCTCCCCGCCCCACTCAAGATTCACAAATACTCATAGTTCGCTCTTCTTTCTCATCCTTCCCCATCGTTGCTCTCAGGGAATCATTCCGACATCAGCGCACGCGTGCGCACACACACACACGCACGCACGCACACGCACGCACACACACAAAGCAAGATGAGGTAAATTCAGGGTGCAAACCAGTAAAATATTTAAAAATAACATATCAACAACCCTTTTATAGCTGACTTGATACAGCATATTCGTGACCTTCTCTACAAGGACAGGGCGAAACACTGAACACTCAGTAACCGCTGGATCACAGAAGAAAACGAGGTTACTTATAGTGACCTGAGCACTGTCATCGGAGCCCCCTGGCCTGGGATTCCCAGCTTCCACAGGAGCCTGGGGGTGCCGCTTCCAGCCCTGCATGACTGTGCTCCTCCGACCACCCGCTTCGATGTTTTTTTCTAGTAGAGGGATGAAGCTCTGCCTCCAGTCTCGTCCTACAAACACATTCTGAGCATGATTCTGTACAAGTCCTCTACGCTTCTATAAATGCTGTGTCCCTGTCTCTTTGTCCCTGTCCATTCCCTAGCCACCTCCTCCCCTTCTACTAGGGACAGGCCCCTGAAGGTGCCAGGCCCCTCTGCACCCCCTCTGCGTTTCGGCCGCATCGATGCCTGCAGGCCTGGCTGAGAAGGGAACAGCCCCAAGTGTGTCCAAGGATAAGGGATAGCACGTTGGGCCGTTTTTTCCTAAAATCTTTTTTGCTAGAAATTTTGATGGTTAACTTGTGATTAAGAATATTATTAAAGACAGCTCTCCTGAGCTTACTAGCATTGCTTGATTTTATCTGAGTGCTATTCAAAATCAAACGTTTTTTGATCGTTAATTTCCTGAATTTTAATGTGCCAAACGGAATATGTTGTTAGTGACACCTGTGAAAAAGCCAGAATGTTATCAATTTAGCTACTACAAAAGGGAATCTCATTATAATCATACCTAATTTTTTTAATATCAAAAAATGGTATTAATCATCTTGGTCTTGCTCTCCGAAATCAAGCTGTTTCTAAAAAGTAAACGTATTCTTAAAGAAAAAAGATTTCTCCCATTGAGATATTCTGATGGTCTATAGCAAGCTCTGCAAACTATTTCAAAAGAGATTCTAAAAATGTTTCAGTAATGGCAGCATTGTTGGAATACAAGAGAAAATAACTTAAATTTCGTAGAGTGACTACCATGTACCAGGTCGTATGGCAGCTGCTTTCATAAACCTTGAATTTTTGTAGCAACCTGACAAGGCAGGCGTCATACTCTCATTTTACAGATGAGGAAGTTGAGGCTCAGAGAAGGAACATGACTTGCCCAAGATCACAATGCTAAGTGGTAGAGCTGAGATTCAAACTCATGCCAACCTGACTCAAATCCAACGATTTAATGCTTTTTCTTCTTAACATTAGCTAATACTGAATGGGCAATAATCATTTCGATGTATACTTTATAGTATTTATTAATCACATTACTTCCTGGTCTCGCTTAATACAACCTTTTAGATTTACGCTCATATTTTTATAAGTTCAGGTACAATAAAACTGCCCAAAGTAGTTGTTGAAACAAATTCATTTAACACAAAGTGCCAGGTACAGTACAGCGAACAAGAGTTGGTCCTGCCCTGGAGAAGCTTAGGATTAAGTAGAAAAGAACAACTTTTGGTAAATATTGGTAGTATAGTAATAGACGTGTATTTCCATCTGTCTCCTGGACACCTCTACCTGGATTCTCGCTACTCTCTCTCCTCTTGATAAATAATATGCCAGGCACTGTGCTGGGTGTTCGGGATGTACAGGTAAATAAGCCCAACATCCCCCATCTTCATACAGTTTAGTTTGGAAGGGAAGAAAGATAATTCAACAGGCAACCATCATGTGATCTGACTTTTATCTGCTCCATAAAAGGGACACATAACAGGAGTAGCTAACCCAGTCTCACGCGAATTAGAAGGGGCTTTTTACAGGCAGTGGTGACACTAAAGTTGAGACCTAGGGGAGAAATAAAAATTGTCAGGCGAAATAGGAAGGCGAATCTAGGCAAAGGAAACAGCAGGTTAAGAGCCTGCAAGTGCCACAGCACGACCAACACAGGAAACCGAAGGCAGTGTTTGGACAGGTGGAGGCAGCTTGCCACGGGAGGGGCAGCTGGAGCCGAGGTCTGAGGAGTCAGGTACAGGCCGGATCACCAAAGGCCTTTTAAGCTATTTAAGAAATTTGGATTTTATCCTAAGGGCCATAAAAAGCCATGAAAAGGTTTTAAGAAGAGAACTGATGTAACCAGTTTTACGTTTTAGAAGAATCATTCTGACTGCAGTGTGACGAAGACATTGGTCAATGGAAGACGGAACCTAGGCAGCCCAGGGAGGTTCTTCAGGAATCGCAGGGCAGTGATGACCCTGATGATGACTGGACCCAGGATCCCCGCAGTGGGGACGAGGAGGGCAGACTCAGCAGATATTTAGACAGTAAACTTGATGGCTGGCTTGTGGGAATTAAAGGGAAGGGAGGGGTTCAAGATGGAGCCCATGTTTCAGCCTTGGGCCATCTGGGGGGAGGTGGCACTATTCAGAGATGGAATGCAGGAGGAGGTACAAGTTTAGGAAGAAGGAAGCGGAGTTGAGTTTGGGACCTTAAGATCTGAGATAGTGGCGAGCATCGGTGGAGGTGTCCAGGAGACAGATGGAAATACACGTCTGGAATTTCAGTCGGCCATTTGACTAAAGATGTAGACAGTAACAGGAAGGATCAGAGTGGATGAGATGACCTGGATGAGCAGGGAAGGAGCGGCAGGGAAGGAGCCTGAGCACGGGACAACTGATAGAAAAAACCAAATGAATCTCAAGTCAGCTGAGACTGCACCTCATTTGAAAGCCAAAGGAAAAATGTGGTGGGTAGTGGAGGAAAAGATCAAGTACCATTTTCCTTCTCTCCCGTGATCCTTGAAGCTGCCTCTCCTCTAGGCAAATTGCATGCTTTGCTGTTCCTGAAAAGCACATGGATTTACCCTTCCAAGGGTTTGATCATTTCATCCTCTCCGCCTTTAAAGAACAGAAGGCCAAACACGACACAGCCATGCCCTTACCCTGCCACACATAACACGGACTGTCATGGATAATTCAGTTTTCCCTTGCACAGTACACAGCACAGACTCTTGTGGCTAGATGGTAGTCAATAAATACCCGTTTAATAAATAAGTGGCAAATGTTTGAACAGGAGAGACTGACTCTCTGTGCTCAGAGAGGCAGATTTTGTCCTATAAGAAAAACTGAAGGTTATTCTTTACATATTTGGCATTCTTTTTTAATAATTTTTATTTCTCGATTACAGTTGACATATAATTTTATGCATACGATATTAGTTTCAGGTGTACG